CGTTGTGGCAGGGCTGGCTGGAGGAGAATGGTGGGGGGTGGTCTATGCCTTCCCCCAGCTTGGTGCTGGGGCTTATGTCTGGGCTGCTCTCTCCTCCCTGGCAGCACCCCGAGGGAAGCGCGGCTGGAAGCCCTTCCACGCCATTCTGAAGGGGATGATTCTGTACCTGCAGAAGGTAGGCAGCAGTGGGGCCACCCGTGTCTGTGCTAGGGAGAGGAATTGTCTCCAACCTACAGGGGAAGTCACAGCAGTACCCACAGCAGTGAGATGAGCTCTAGTGCACAGCACTGCAAAGCCTGGCCTAAGCAGACTCAGCATCATGTCTGCTTGAGACATTGCTTGGGGACCTGGTGGCATCCCTGTTCCTGGGGTGCTTAGGCTGAGCCTGGGCGGTGAAAGTGGCTGCCGACTGAGGGCCCTGGTTGGGGGGGGGTGTGCTTGGCTGGCGAGAGAGGAGGCACCAGGGCCTTTGCCCTGGCAGGGGCGGCTTGGGCTGCATATCCAGTTTCCTGCAGGCACATGTGCTGCCGAGCTGTGGGGAACAGCCACGATGCTGTTGCCAAGCCTATGCACGGGGATTGTGCAGCCTTCCCCCATGGGTGTAGCATGAGCTGGAGGCAGACCCCACAACAGCCTCGTGGAGGGTGATCTTCAAGCCCCACCACTGTCAGTGCTTGCCTGCAGTTCCTGCGGCCTCATAGAGCTGACTCATGGAGGGGTGCATCCCTAAGCTGGCTCTGAAACACCCTGTGATTCGCAGGAGGAGTATAAGCCAGGGAAGGCACTGGCAGAAGAGGAGCTGAAGAACGCTATTAGCATCCATCATTCGCTTGCCACACGGGCATCTGACTACAGCAAGCGACCCAACGTCTTCTACCTCAGGACAGCTGACTGGAGGGTCTTCCTCTTCCAAGCACAGTGAGTCCCCCAGGATCCCTGGCTGCGCCCCACACTGGGGTCCAGGGGCTCATCTGACTGGGGCGGAGGGTGGGATGGGACTTAGGGCCACACTGCTCTCTCCTGTCCTGACCCTTCCTGGAAGGAAGAGGACCCAATGTCAGCTCTGTGCTTTGCCCAGCTCCTCTTCTTCCCACCCTGATGGGCTCACAATGGCCTGAGTTGCTGGAGGCAGAGCTCCAGGTGCCATGGCTGGCCAGGACCAGGCCTAGGCCTGGGGGACCTGGATCTTGTCTGCAGGGCAGGTCCCTCTGCCTGTGATACAGACAGTGCTACTTAGAGCCCATTTGTGGTTTGGCCTTTCTCTCCAGGAACCCTGAACAGATGCACTCGTGGATCACACGCATCAATGTGGTGGCAGCCATGTTCTCTGCGCCCCCCTTCCCCGCAGCCATCGGCTCCCAGAAGAAGTTCAGCCGCCCACTGCTGCCCAGCTCCTGCACCAGGCTGTCCCAGGTGGGCCAAGAGCATGGGACAGACCCCCTGCATCTGCTGGTGGCACTGTTCCCTGCAGAGGGAACTATGTGATGCCACACACCCAGCTGCCTCACAGTGGGGTGCAGGGCTGAGGGAGCATGGCCAGGGAGACATGGAGCAAGGGGGTGATGAGGTTGTGGGTAGACAGTGAGGACTTGTTCCTGGCAGTGGGGACAAGAGACAGGCCATGGAGTCAGACCATGGAGAACATGGTCCCCCACCACAGCTTGCAGGGTCCTGCCAGGGCCAGGACCTTGAAAGGCGACCGGACCGGGGGATTAGCTGGCACTCGTACATGCCAGGGCAGTTATTCATAGAGCAGAAAGGATTAAAAAAAACCACCAACCTAGTTTTAGAGGGGATTAAATTCGGCTTTAAGACTGCAACCAGCCCCCCATGAGGCAGGAGCAGATTGCCCCCAAGGGCCTGTGCTTTTGCCTGCCATTTAAAAGAAAGGAACAGAAGCTGAGATCCTGGCTGTACCTAGGAGGGGAAAAACCTGTTCTCACCCTGGTGGGCTCACACTGCCAGGGGGCAGAGCAGAGGGCAGAATAGGGCACTGACATGGTGCCTCCCTTTCCCAGGAAGAGCAGGTGAAGAGTCATGAGACCAAGTTCAAGACAATGTCAGCAGAGCTGCTGGAGCATCGCTCCTCGCTGCCTGAGAAAAAGGTGAAGGGCAAGGAGTATGAGGAGCTGAAGCAGAAAGAAGAGTACCTGGAGTTTGAGGTGAGCTGTGAGTCCCCCCTCCCTGCCCCCAGCCCCCCTGCCTGCTTAGCCATCCAGAATGATGGGACCTGCCCCATCCCCATCACCTTAATTGCACTGTGCCACTGCCATGGCCTGGAACCACAAGCATCCACCCTTCCCAGGGATTCTGGCTGGGGTGGAGGGACCACATGCATCCCCCCTCCTACCCTGGGATGCTAGCTGAGGGGCAGTGCCCAGCTTGCCAACCCCGTTCTCTGCTGCACTGTGCCTCCAGAAATCCCGCTATGGCACCTATGCCATGCTGCTGCGGGCCAAGCTGAAGGCTGGCTCTGAGGACCTGGCAGCCTTCGAGTCTACCCTCTTTGACGCAGCGAGTGGGGAGGATGATGGCCTGAAAAAATCCCACTCCAGCTCCTCACTCAATGCAGAGCCCTCCGGCACAGCCACCAAGGTGAAGCGCAACGTCTCTGAACGCACCGGCCGCCAGCCCCTTGGCCACCCCCAGAAGTCGTAAGCGAGGGGCATCAGCCACCCATGCTGCAGCTCTGTTCCTGCCCACCCTGCTGCCGGGGTGGAGGCCACATGCTCACTGAGACCCTGCATGAGTCTGTCTGTCTGCGGCACAAGATGGGGGTGTGACAGCCCTTCCCCGGCTGCCAGCACCAGCCATGCAGGGCCATGGCCTCTCCACCAGAGAAGGTGGCGGAGCAGGACAGTCCCTGGTCCTTGCCCATGGGAGCTGCCCACACCGTCGGCCCCATCAGACTCATTCCTGCCCCTCTGTCCTGTGCTTGGCTGCAGGACCCCTTCCCCAGCCCTGGGGAGGGGGATAATTGAAACCCACCCACTGGGCTCAATTCTTCAGTGGTTAAAAAACCAAACCAAAACAAAAAAACCTACAAGAACACAGCAAAACAAAGCCAGTGGCCACTTCTCCTCCAGCTCCTTTGTGCCATGGGGGGCAGACAGGAGGGGGCCAGCCCTGGCCTGTCCCCTCTCCTGGGGTTGGTAGCCAGGGGAGCCAAGGCGATGGCACCTGGCCCCCTCCCTGCCACCCCAGCCACCTCTGCACCCTCCCTGCTTTCTTACAACTTTTGAACGGTTTTTGTGATACAGTTTTGCACTTTTTAGTACCAGATCGAGCTGACCACCAGGGAGGATTTTTTGGGGCTACTTTTGATGCTTTTTGGGGACTATTTAAAAAAAACAAAACCAGAAACCCAGCCATGTCCTGTAGGCACTGCACTCTGCAGGGAGGAGGTTTTTACATGGACTTACGGGGTGACCCAGTCCCCATCCCGTCCCGTTGTCGTCCCCCCGCCACGTCCCCCCCCCAGCAAACTGAGCATGGGTTCCTGACTGTGCTGCTGCCTGTGACCCAGTCCGGCTCTGGCACCAGCAGGCCTGCAGAGAGAGACAGCCCTGTGGTCGCTGGCACTGAGGAGGCAGCCCTGGGATTGCAGCACCCATTTCTGCACTGGGGGCTGCACTGGGGGCTGATGCATTGGTGTTTCATGACCCCCCTGTGGTCTGGACTGGCTCCATTTGCACTGTCTGGGCGTGACCACCGTACCCAGGACATGTTGGGCAGCAGCATGTAAGTACTTCGAAGTGGGGGAGGTGCCCCTGAAGCCAGGGTGCTGGTGCGGGCCGGAGCCAGCTTTCCTTCCCATGCCACTTCACCAGCGTATGGCTGGGGCATTGGAGCCTGTCAGCAAAGCCTGGTCTGCAACACCTTCCTTAGTCATGCAGCACCTTCCTTAGCCACAGGCTCCCTCCTTGCCTGGGTGAGGGGCCAGCTGGGGCAGCCCCCACCACCCCGGGGGACTGGAGGATGCTTGTCTGAAGCAGGGTGCCAGTGGTGGAGCATGGCCACAGGAATGCCCAGGGAGGGAGGGGTCTGGGGACTGGAAGGGCTTTGGGGTGGGGGGGCTAGCGCGCACGCTGTTCTTGGCCCCCCAGGACCTGGCTGGTTTCAGCACTGACTTTGCGAATGTGACAAACTTTTTATTCTGCTCTTTTGAGTCTGTCTCTTATAC